CTTCCTATACTCATTAAAGTTTTTTATTTTTTAGAATTTGGTGGGGATGGTAATAGGGGAACATTTTTTTCAGACTAAAGTTCTTTGTGGGGTTCCTTGTCTTTGCAGTTGTTATAGGTAAATGAACAAAGAAAACAATGTAGGACACTTATTTAAATTGTTATTTCATCTTTAGATACCATAAAGCCTCTAAAAACTCTCTCTCTTTTATTTTATTTTATTTTTGATAATGCGTATAAAGACACAAATGAGAAGTTTTCAACATTGAATTCCATACTAATAATTTTTAAAAATTACATGAAGAGTCTTGTAACAACGTCTTTAAAATTTGCAACTTAGGATAATTCATGAATCTTGTAAATAAGAGTCATGGTTGTTTTGTAACAACTAACACCAACTTTTTTTGTCAACAATTTAAATAACTTAGTAATAACTTCTTTTAAATGGAAACAAAAGATTTTAAATTTGAGTTATATGGTATATGGGTGGCCTGAGTTACAAGGTAGGAAGGGTTTGCCTTCCAATATGCAACCAAAAAAAAGAAAAGAAAAACCTTTTTTTTTCTTTGTTTTTCTTCTGTGGCCAACCAACATGAACTTTTTAATTCTTCTGATATATATGAAACCCAAGAGTCAATAAATTCATGGAATTCATGAGTTATACAACTTCTAAATAACACCTTTTCAATTTACCTTTTGTTAATTTAATAGTTTTAGATCTCATTCACTTATAACACGAGACTCTTAACATTCTATAATATTACAAATTGCACTAATAGAGGTAAGCAAAAAAGGGAGGGGGACAAGATAACTCTCACCGTTTCTACGTACCCTACCATTTCACCATCTCTAGTTAAGTTTCTTTATGTGATCTCAGAAACCTCAAAAAACTAAGCACAACATATACTCAAGGAAACAAAACTCACATCATAAAATTAAATAATGAAGATTTAGCCTCCTCCAATTGAGTTTTGTTCTAGGAAATTTTCTTTTTAATCTATTCTTACTTGTGTGCTACTCTTAAGGGTTGTTTGGTATAGTGGTGTGAAACTAATAGTTAGTGGTTTCATATAATCTGACATTTCATAATTGTTATTATTAATAATTTAAACAATCTTGATCATTGAATTAATAAAATTGCTAATTACTAATTTTAAACTAATATATGAAACAACCCCTTAATCAAGGAAGCTTAGGATAGGGTTCAAAAATTTTAAATCAAATGGATCGACCTAAGTCCTCCTAATTAGAAGTTTTGAGTTCAAATATGCTTTGGACCTCGTGAAATTAAAGTTTTTAGGTTGCCAAAGCTACTCTTGTTATATAACATGTAATACTAAAACTAATTATATATATAGGGAAATTCTTTACATGTTTTTCTGTTTTGGTCTTGTATGGGAAAAAAAGGAAGTTGTAAAATCCAAGTATCCAATTAACTTCTTCAAAATTTAGTTCTTTTTTTCACTTCACATTAAGAGCCTTGAATATGTTAGTGAATTAGTTTCATTGGTAAATTGTTCCAATGCAAGAGTTTGGTTCCATATTTATTATGAATTGGTGAATGTTTTTTTAAATAACAAAGCAACTACTAAGAAAGCCTGCGTGAATTGATGAAGTTTTAAGAAAGAACAATATCAAAATCAACTATGAAGGAGAAAAAGCATAAGACTAACATTGGAGTGTGTTTATTTGAATGATTTCTTGTAAAGTTTTCTAGCAAACCTTATAATTATGAGTTAATAAATTATCAGTCATTGATTTACCCAAGGAGTTGAGACTTAGTTGGCAGGGGACATTGATTTCTTAGGGAGGCCAATGGAAAGCTAATTCCTTATGAATTCCCTAATCTTGGTGTGGATAGTTTGCCCTTGACTAGACTAAGGAGAGATTGCTCTCAAGGTGTGTGCAGGCTAGTCCAGGAACATTTTGATTGCTAAACCAAAAAATTAAAAAAAAAAAAAAAATCAGTCATTGATTTCCAAATCCAATGGTTGAGATATATTACTGAATTATAGTACCATCATTTCAATTAGGGGTTAGTGCTTGTCCGCCTTACCTCCAAAAAATTAAGAGGAAAAAGGACAAAAATCACTTTAGTGCATGCTTTAAAAAAGGGTAGTTTAGTCTTTTTCAATAAAAATTTATTGAAACGACGTAGTTTTAGGATGATTTTCCTTCTAATCTTTAGGAGATAAGGCTGACAGACACTTTTTCCTTTCAATTATTAGATTTGTTAAATCAACAGTTAATAATTTATATAAGATTTTCATATATGTAAGTGGATCCTAACTTATAAATTGTATTCACTTACTCCCTCCATTAGATCTAAAAGAAGAATGGAAGGTTATAAGTGGAAGTGAATGATGTTTTCTTCAGTTAGTTTCATTCGCTCAATTGAACTAAATCACTTTGATTGTCCATAACTTCAAGATAGTATTGATTTTGAAAGAACATTCTTTTTAAGTTTTATCACATGCACTAGGTATCTCTATGATATATTGACTATTCTCTTATATATGAATTAACAAAGGAGTTTGTAGATGAATTAGTGATAGACATATTGTAGTTGTAGTGTTATAATAGACATGTCATATTATGAGTAAAAGTACAATATGTTATGTTACTTTAAATTTTGATAATTTTATGCTTTGACAAACTCTTGCATGTACTTAAAATCATACATGGAGACACATTATTTAAGATTTAATACATGTTAAATAGATCTCAAAAATATATATCACGATCAAGGAGTTAATATATAGCATGAAGAAAGTCAATATAATAAGATTGTATTGTAAATTTAAAATGATTTATATATAAAGAAATGCTCATGTTTATGGTTCTTTAGATATTGGTTTTATTAACAAAAAGAATAGCATATTGAACATGATACAAATTATGATGATTGTACATGACTCTACATACCATGTAAACATTTTTATGTTAAGGAAATACGGAAGACTCTCGAATAATTGATTAAAATATAACTTGGACTAATTTATTTTATTCATTTGAATATATTCATATTTAATGTGTGCATGTAATATAAGGAAATGTATCATTTGATTCCGTTTTCATTTTTCATACCCATATCTAGTATTTTGGGCACAAATTAGAACATTCGAGATAGTAATAGGTACCTGTTCAACCTCTATGACATATTTACCATCAATTTCCTAACCAATTCTCCATGGATTTACATGATTCTTGAAGCATTAGATTTCTATGTTAAGCTATTATCAAATGTGATGAAGAAATAATCAATTGGTTTCAAGCATTCTCAGAAAACGGTCAAAAACTACAATAATATCCATGAAAACCCTAGTTTAGACCTTTGTTGCTTCAAAATCAAATTTCTCTCAAACGACTAATCAAAACAATGCGTGAGAATACTCATTAGAAAGCTTAGATAATAACCTATATGATAAAAAAAATTTCATCAAAATTCATCAAGTTTAACTCAAGTTATGCTCAATTCAATTAAGAGTAAAAGCACACCTAAAGTAACCAAATCACCAATTTCCTCCCCATACCTCTTCATCCATACCCTTATGACATTATATCCTCAACCGTGGATAGCGCCAGATCTAACGGCCCACATTCAAACTTACTGAAGAGTGCGATCCGTGTGCTTGTCCCCTCAACCAATCAGAGATCAGCTTTCGGATACCGTCTCTCTCACACCCCGATATTTAAACCTGCTCGTTACATTTGATCTTCACGACAAAATTTCAAGTTTACCAGATTCCAGATCCAATCTCTCTTGAATTCCCTATTCAATCTAGTCTCTAATGGCTGCCGAGGAGCCAACTGTGGCGGTTGAGTCCGCACCGGAAGCGGCCGAGGAGAAGGCAGCGGAGGAGAAGCCTGCCTTCAAGTCCACCAGGAGCAAGAAAGCCAAAGAGCCCAAGGCTAAGAAGCCGGCGGCTCCAAAGAAGAAGCCTAGAGCTCCTTCCACTCATCCTCCTTATGAGGAGGTATTTCTCGATTCTCTTTCAGATTAATAGAAATGTTTCAGGGCAATTGTTGTGTTTTGTTTCAGATCTGATTGGTATTGTTTTGTTGATTGCAGATGATTAAGGATGCGATTGTCACTCTGAAGGAGAAGACAGGTTCGAGTCAGTATGCTATCACGAAATTCATTGAGGAGAAGCACAAGCAGCTGCCGTCGAATTTCAAGAAGTTGCTTCTGTTCCATTTGAAGAAGCTTGTTGCGGCCGAGAAGTTGGTTAAAGTGAAAGGCTCGTTCAAGCTTCCGTCGAGTAGGTCTTCTGCGCCTGCAAAGTCGGTGACCACTCCTGCTTCTCCTGCTAAGAAGAAACCGGCCACGGCTGCTGCTACTAAATCTAAGTCAAAAGCTACTGCAAAATCCAAGGAGGTTAAGTCAAAGGCAAAGGCGGTGGCTAAAGCTCCGGCCAAGGCCAAGGCCAAGTCCAAGGCTCCTGCCAAGGCAAAGCCGAAGGCAGCGCCTGCCAAACCAAAAGCTGCCGCCAAAGCTAAGCCCGCTCCGGCGAAACCAAAGGCTACTACAACTGCGAAGAAGGCCGCTTCACCTAAGTCCAAGCCTGTTGCCAAACCGAAGCCCAAGGATAAGCCAACTAAGGCTGCGAGGACATCATCAAGAACATCTCCCGGGAAGAAGACCGCAGCGGCACCCAAGCCCAAGCCTGCTCCGAAAAAAGCTCCGGCTAAGACCGTCAAACCCAAGAGCGTCAAGTCGCCGGCCAAGAAGGCAAATTCGAAGAGAGGGAAGAAGTGAAATAGGAAAGGGATAGTGTTCAGTAGGGTTAGTTTTGTAAATCCGGGTGAAGTAGATGGGTGTATGTGTATGCCCATGAATGAAAATATCACAACATCGGCTCCTCCTTAAATCTTTTCTCTCATTCTTTTTAGTTTTTCTGAGGTTGTTTTTTGGTTCATTTTTTTTTTTTTAATCTTTAGATGTAATTTTCAAGTGGATTATGAGAGTATAATCACAGCTGTTCTTCATCATTGTTTCCCCCAATTCAAAGTGAAATTTCTCAGAATGAAAATGAATAAACGAGGGTTTCGTTGTGTTCAATCAGTGGTGGTGGCGTGAGTTACTGTAAAAGGGGAAGGCGTCTTCCAGACGCTGCAATTGAGGTTGCGTGGATTGATGAAGATGAGTGGGTTGCGGTGTCAACCCCTCTGTAAACAGTTATCGGGAAAGGACGGACGGAAGGTAATTGTGCTCGAACAAATTTTCATTGTTGCATAATGTGGAATGATTCTCTGTTCTTAGCATCAATTTGGGAGTTCTTACTTGATACTAACCTTCTTGGAATCATGAAATAAGAACTACAATTTTTAACCAATCGAAGTATCAAATAAGAAAAACTAACAATTTTTAACCAACTGAGGTATCAAGTTGGCTCATTATGTATTTGACCATTCAAAGTCTGTTCATGCACACCATCGGTAAAAGCTTGTTCTCCATTGGGAAGTTTCTCAATGGTTGCTGTTGGAAAATTGAACTCCAAGTGAGAATTGAACTGACCAAGAATGACCCATTGCTATATTTTACTAGTCAAGATTGTTAGGTTGAATTTGACCAGGTTTTACTGGTTCAAAATGGACTCTGGAGGTTGCTAAGCAGAAACTTTTAAAAGTTGCAGTTTGTATCTAATTGAGATTGATGTGGTGGATTGATTTGTCAAAAGTCATGCAGGCGTGGATTTTTTTGGCTTGTATAATTGGAAATGCAGTATGCTTATATATTTCCATGGATTCATAGTAATGTCACAATGGTTTGGTCATGGTAAGATGCATAAATCAAGATCTGAATTACCATTCTTTCACAATTTCCAAATTTCATCTAAGCAAAACCATAGCTTTTACATACAGGAACTCAGAAGAAAAAATTTCCACTTTTCATCCCTATTAATGGCTAATGTCATGGCTGGTAAGTTTGTTTGAACATCTTGGTCTGACGTGGTATTGTGGATGGAAATCTAAGGGTAGTTAATGGCATCTGACATCAGTGGCACATAGAGATCAAATTCTAAAGCAGAAAATTTACCTAAAGAGATAAATCTAAAGCAGAAAAATGTAAAATAGACAAGTGCTGTTGAGAAGGTGTGCATCATACAATGCTTTATATGCTGAAGTACGAGGTGTTGTTGGGCTTTAGTTGCAGCAAGTTGGTTAGTTATTTTCATAAATTTGATGAATTTATTTTCCTTGGTGCAGCTAAATCCATAAATGACTGGGTGGTTGAAAAAGAAAGCTTGAAAAGGATGCTTCATTACAATGGTAGGTTTGACTGATATGAAGTTGATTCAAGTAGTTTTTGGAAACAAGCACACAGACGAACAGAACTCTTAACAGTGAGTTATATTAGGACAGCATCTTATTTGGATTTAGTATGATTAATGAGTGAGCTAATGACTAATTTTTAGAGGGGGTCAACATACTAGTGCTTGGTGAATAAATTGTTGTCAATTTCTTGAAGTATCCATGTCACTTATGAAGATGAATTTGTGGACACTAAAATGGATATCATAGTAAAAGTTTTTACTGGGAGCCTGCTTGCACTATGTATTCTTTAAATTTGTTGTATCAGCTTAGTTATCATGATTTCTTGCTCTGTTCTGTGACAAGGGAATAATGTGAAGCTGTCATTGAGGAATGTGAAACTGATAGCTTGGTAAAGATTCATAAATTAGTTGGTATAATTCGATAAAGTTTCATTACCATTGACCTTTTGGAAATCATAGATAATTAAGAAACTTTTCATGAACGGGTGAAGAACATGTAACTGCAGATACCAAGATAAATCGTATATAAACGAATAGCAGAAGGCCTATTCATGCATTAGAGGAGCATCTATTTGATGCTCCTTATTATTTGTCTGTAGTTGGTGTACTATCTGGGATTAATTTTAACATTTTCATACTACTAAGTAGTGAATAGTTTTCTTTACCATCAATGACCTGGTACTAATTCCTAAATATGTAAGAGTTACAAAATATCAACCAACTTTGCTGATGGAAAGTCTTGTTGATAGTCTTGATACTCCACTCTAGAGTGGCTTGTGATCACTGTGAAACTGAACTTGAAAGAAGAAACAATCCCCTCCCGTTTCTGGCAATTGTATTGTGGAAAATAGTTTGCTTTTCCTTACATGTAGTGTAAAACTACCTTGTTATAGGGTGCACTTTTATCCATTCCTAGTAATACAGAAGCATTCTACTTGAAATTATACATATCATAGCCATTAATACATTCCCCTGAACTCTCTGTCCAATGAGTTCCTACAATCAAATTCTTAATACTTGTTTAAATTTCCTCTTTTAATTTGTCTCATCTAACAGGCTGTATGTTTAACACCCAGCCATAAGGTTGAATTGACACTTCATTAGTCTCCTATGGTATCATCATCTAATCAAGGTAGAAACCCATTTCCAGTTTTGGATTTTGTCCATAGTCATTTTCTCAAGATCAGTGCATCTTATGTTAACATACTCTTTTTTTTTCTCCTTTTTATTTATATATAAATCAAGGTGAGTACGGGTCGTTACTCAACATCAATGAACTTTTTATCTGTAGTTAATCTTTGTCTTTGGTTATCTTGAATCTTTAGAAATTTTCACTTCTCTGTGATTGGCTAGATTTTTACTGAAAGAAGTGTTCTTTCACTTGAAAATTCCTTTTTCTTTTCTTTTCTTTTCTTTTTTTTTTTTCATTTGTTTTTGAAGAATATAAGAATATTATAAATGTAGCGTCAACTTGGAAGACTAGAACATTTTCCTCGTGGTGGCATATAATATATGTGAAAACCATTTCCTTTCACTTTTTGTACGTTACCATGTGTTTTAGAATTCAGAGAAAGAAATAAAGACTGTTGGAAAGAAAGGAATTCTAAACATATGATGAGGATAAAATACTAAAATAATTGTTATGACTGGTTAGAAAATGAATTGAAGATTTAAAAACAAGCAGATAGAAAACACCATAGATTTTGCTGGGGATGGGGAATGCTTAAGGGTATAATTCCCGCATACAAGACCAATGCAACATCTGAGGAAGCTGCATATGTCTCCTGCATGAGATATTAGGGCGAAAACCATAACACCAGAATTTTTGAGTGATATATGTCACCTGGTTAACTATTTGGATTGGAGGCATCTGAATCCCTTGGTTATTATCGCATTTTCATTTTTTTTTCTTGCTTCAAATTCAAGCATCTTGATTTTCTATCTTTGTCATTGAATGAGGCTTTTACCATACATCAAAAGTGACAAAATGCATAACAAATCTCCATTTACTGCATTATGAATTAGAAATATTTCTGGTGCTGCTTAAGTTGTTTTTCTGATTGTCCTTCCTTTTCCGTTATAAACTATAATCTCTAGCTAGTGCAGTTCCAACATGAAAAAACCCAACTATTAAATAACATGACTTACATCCTTCATAATTGGTTGAAATTGCTGAATTTCAGTTTCTTGATCTGAACCTTACATAACTTAGGTGCAATAGTTATATATATAATCACCGTTGTTATAACACAACCTAGGTAAACAACTCTTGGTAAAAAAAATGTAGCAGAGTAACAGAGTTTTGATAACTCCTTCAACCTCCAACTATTGGGAGTGAATCTAGAGAAGTTTGAAATTGAAACTCAGCAAGGCCTGTGCTCTTGACGTATCTTTGATCTTTCTACTTTCTGAATAGAATACTTGAGCTCCTGTTGGACATTTAATCTCGAAGGTGACAATACAATGTCTTTCCAGATGGACCCAGCTTCACAAGCAGGGTTGGGGTTCTTGTAAAGTTCATATATGGACTCTGCATCCTCATTCAGTCTGGCTACCTTCTTTAAACAGTCTATCTCCTCTAGATCAACCAGAAAAGTCTTGTCTTTGTCCTTCCATCCTATCAACTACACAACCATTATTATGTCAATATTTCATATACGATGAATGATACAAGTTTAACTACTTCATGCTGAAGCTTCACTTGTCTACTACTGAATGCTTCAGTTATCTGTGTCTGACTAGGTTATTTCCTTCATTCCACAAATTTGCCTTTAGGTCCATTAAGGGGTGGGCTGGGGTTCTGATGGAAATCAACTCCTTTCAGGCGTGTTATGGCCTTGCTTTGGACATTTTAAACTCAACCTAGTTGTATTGTTGTACCCATTGTGGCGTAACCACAAGAGTCTTGAACCAGAAGCTTACACAGACAAATCCTGGAGAAGAAAATGCAAATTTACAAGCCTAGAAAATGGTATTTGTACATAACCATCTGAAAGCTTGGGCAGGATTCTGCATTACTAGAAACCCTGAAGGCTCCATATCTAGAGAGAAAACTGTGTAATGATCTGATAGCAATGGCATAAATGCGTAACACAGTTGAGTTGGATTAAAGGGATCATATAGTTTCCTTAGGCTTAGTTATATCTATTTGATCCTATAGGTTTCAGTTGTTAAAAGTCTTAAAAGTCTCTGAAGGGAATTATAAATCCTCAGGAAACCAGAGAAAATGAGACAAAAGAAACTGTAGATGCACCTTAGGGGGTCCTTCCAAAGTATTGGTGCAATATAGCCTGGCATTGTCAACCAGTTGGATGTATGTTGGTAATGCGTTTGCAAATCTCTTGTGGGATCTCAGTTGTGAATTCACCCTTACAGCTCTTCCACACAGTATGGCTCTCCTGTAATTTTAAAATATCTCCCAATGTAGTAAGTCAAAATTCCAGGGAAAAAGGCTGTTACTAATAACTTGAAAATTAACACATAAGATATTTAACCGTGCTGATTTTGATCATACCTAATGCCTCTAATAACAGCTAGGTAGGTGTCACAAACAACCCCAACCAGCTCTATCCTGTATGGTTTTCTCTTTTTACCCTCTTCTTGCACTTGCTCTTCGTCTATTGTTTCCCAGTACTTCTCAGTTACCTTTCCATCTTTTCCTACCTTGTAACCAGCTCCCATGCGATATCGGTGACGATGGACATTTCTGGCCATGGTTATCGTCTGCACGACAAATGGTAACCAGGAGAGTGTGCCATCCATGATAACATCCCGCCCTTCATTGAGTGCTGTGACTAGGAGGGATGATGCCGCATTTGTAGATGATTGGTGCACCTGTTTGATTTTTTAGTGTTAATTTAATTATAAAAAAAAAAAAATCAGTGATGCCAGAAGAACTGTCTAAAATGTTATCAAATTATTGATGCATCCCTAAGTAACATACGTGTGTTATACTTTTAAGGTTGGAATGGTTTATGGGGGTTGCCTTTAACTTAGAAAGGTAAGTTAACAAAATTATATCGCTGATTAAAAAAAAAAAAAAAAACTTAGAAAGATAAGATTTAGAAAGTAGGAAGTTATACATTCAGGAAAAAAAAAAAAAAAAAAACTTAGAAAGATAAGATTTAGAAAGTAGGAAGTTATACATTCAGGTGTGCACTGGCTATGAAATGTAAAATACAATGGACGGGTAACTCTTGTAGATCTATATGTGAAAGCAGGCTAATCAGTAAGGGACTGTTATGGAGTTTGTTGGTTGGACTGATGGAAGAAATTTGTGCATCAGATGGGCTGCTCACAAAGTAAATGCGGAGGCTCTTTGCCATGTGGGAGTGGCTAAAGCACCTAGGTTCCCAGCCTTGTCAGGTGTGTGCTTTCTGGTATTTTGGCATTTATTACTTCTTATGCTTATAAAGCTGGTCAAATATTTGTTATTCTGGATTCATTTTTTTTTAGTTAGTTTTGACCCTTGGTGATACTTTTAGTATTAAATGGTTTTTTATTTTCCTGATCTTATCATTAAACTGTGTATTAAGTTTAGGTTTATTTCCTTGCAATAGAATTAATAAAAAATACTTGTACAAGTACGATATGCTCATAAAGTTTTCTTAGTATGATGCTTAATAGTACCAAGGCTGTTCTTAAAAAGATCAATTGCTAGCATCTATAATGCCTCTGGATAGATGTATCAGGTTGACAAACCTGCTGTATGACTTCTAAAATGATTCATGACTTGTAAGTAAGGCACCAAAAACACTTTAACTTCCATGGAAAGGAAGCTGATATGGGTTAACTGGAATTGATTGTATTTTATGTAATTTTGATTATGAAAGTAGGGATATCTCTTATGGGGCTTCAGCTTGAGAAGTAATTTTACAAATTTGTTCTCAGTAAGGTGATTGTATATGGGAAATTTATCTGAATTCTAATTAATGCTCCATGGAATCTTTTAGCAAGCCTAGTTATTAAAGTCAGCTTGGAATACTTTTTTTTTGTTATTCAATGGCTTGAAAGGAACAAAATGCTGCTTGGTGATTCAGCTTCACCAGAAGATATGCTGACAGAAGTATTGATTTGCTGTAAGATATAAAGTTGGTAACGTGATTTTCTTTTGAACTCTATTTATCAATAGGCAGTTATTTCTAACCGAGTTCCTGAGGTTTAAAGTATGGACTGTGTAGGATCTGTTGTTTGCCGAAAGAGAAAAAAAAAGAAAAAAAAGGTAGGATCTGTAGTAGTTTTCCTTTGGCTGTGTGCAGACTTTGTTTCCAGTAGTATACAGAACCAGGGTGAAATCCAAGGCTTGAAACTTGAAAAGGGTTATCTAAAGGTTATGATCAATTTCTTAGTTTGTGTGTGTGTGAGAAAAAAAGAGAGAGAGGATCAGAAAATCTCACTAACTCAGCCGTTTGGAAAATGTCATGATGACCTCTGGAGCTCAGGGCTTTGTAGATGACATCTGATTCCTTGAATGCATCTGCCTCAATCACAACCGCATTCCCTGCAGCTCCCACCCAGAATGGTCTGTTTAATAGTCCATCCAAAGAAACACAATGCTGGTTTAGTTATTTCTTGTAATTGTTCGTACTTTTATCCTTCATAACAACTCAATATAAAAATGCTAGCATTATGCATGATTATCAAAGAAAGGGAAAACAACTGAATGAAAGTAAAATAAATACTCCTAAAACTACTGCTTTTGATAGCAAATTTGATGTTCTGACATTAACTTTAGGATTTGAGTTCATTAGTTCTTGCTTTCAAAGTGGTGAGTTGGCATGTGATCTGGTGAACTTAATTTTGAATAACAGGTGGCCCGTGCAAGAAACATGGTCAATGGTTCCACTTCCAGAGAGAGATTTGATAAGGTAAGTTCCTGAGGATATTACTCTGATATGAGGTGGTATAGAAGGAGCTTATTTCCATTATTCTTTTCCATTTGCTCTTGCATATTTAATAATGATTCATTCGCAAATTAAGTAAATCAATAAGTTTCAATAGAACCACCCAGTTGGTCTTACTCTTTGAGAATGTCCTTAAGCACAGTGCTTTTTCCAGCTCCCATCCCACCCCCCATGAGGAGCAGCACTGGACTTCTGTCACTGTGAGCCACTGGCGCCATCACCTCAGTACATTGAGAATCATCAACTGATGCAATCCCCATCGCTTTCATTTCCTCCACCAAGGTAGCAAACACTCTAGCCACTTTCAGATTTTTGGTCACTCTCTCAAATCTCTGTTCCCTGAATTAGAAAAGCAAAAATTCTGAAAATTTTTCTTCTGCATAGATTAATGGGATTTCTATCTTTATTTTTCAGGTGATAAATGCAAGAGTTCATTCAAAATTTGCCAAATCATGGACGTAGGACTCCATTGATTAATAACATACAAGGTTTCAGTTTTTGTTTTTCAGTATCATTATAATTGTGTTATGCATTTCCCTTGTTCTATACATTTCAATGTCTTAGTTTCAGAAACAGATAAAAGAATACAAGAACGATGAATAATCTTAATAAATATTCATACCTAGTTGCTGCCATGACAACATGCTTCAGCTTCTTTTTAGGCTCTGCATCATGACTTAGAACCTGCAGTCATGTAGTAAGAACACATAAGAGAGGGAAATAGCTTCATAACATGTTTCTTTAGGACTCAAATCTTTTTCGTGATCTTGACATATTTTCCTTGCCGATACATCAGGAGTCAGGACCACTTACACATGCAAATTTTACATAAATTATCAACCTTTGGTTTTTGCTTCCAATACTTGAAAATGATAGTGCTATACTTAGTAAGAATCCATCTTTATACCGTTTAGATTGTTTCGATTATAAAATAAGATCCTTTTGTAAAATAAGGGCATGTTTGGATCAGCTCCTAAGAGCTTCAATTTTTGGATAATATTTATATTTCATGAATTTAAATTTTTTTCTTAAAAACTTATACTTTTAAATATTTTTTTAACCTTAAAAAGATTTTAAACAATAAAAACTCAAAAGTTTCAAATCTAAACTTTTTATAATCTCCATTTTTACTCACTTTTCACTCACATTTTCATATGTCTAAAAGCAAAAACTCAATTTTTTCTCTAATAAAAATTTAAACTTATCACTCATAACAGTATTTAAAAAACAAAAGCTCTCAGAAACCACACCAAACAAGCTTTAAGAACCTTTAGATGAGGGAAGATCTTTTGATATTAAAGGCCCTCACCTCATTTAAAAGTTAATGTTTTGCAGTATGAAACAGTCTAAACTATTAAACACTTTTTTTATGTAGTAATATATCACAAAATTGTTGGATTTGAAAATTAACAGATGATAATTTATTTAAGACTTTGAAATCCTAAATTCGTATTATATATATAGATCTTGATTACCTGACTAATCATAAGATCAGCATGGCTCCAGTGGAATGCAAAGTAACTAAGAATGCATCTCTCAAACTCCTCCACAAGCTTAACATACAGTGAATCTACATCTGGCTCCCTCGAGAACAATGCAAATATAGCATCTTCACATCCTTCTGAATTTCTAAGATATGCAGCTGCTAACTTGCAGAGATGCGGACATTCTCTCCTGTCTGAAAATCCAATTTGCCTTGCTGCGTCCCAAGGATTCAGAGGAAACAGAGCATCAAGAGAAAGCAATATTCATCAAGCATGGATTTCAATATCCTTAATTTTTAAAGGTACCAACCCATTTTTACTACTTTTAGAGAATTTTCATTCCGTTTTTAGCAAATTTCCTTGAACATTAATGCTTAAATAGTAATAATACTCTTTTGGAATTTTTTAATGTACTATTAAATGGATATTTATTTTACTTTTT